GGGCAGAGGAGGTGGGGGGAGGTTGAGATTTGATTCCTTTTTAACCCCGGTAACTCACGTTGAGGGAAACAAGAAAGAAATCAAGACCGCATGCTCATGTCAGCCTCACCCACGTTCGTTTGTCGGTGGCTTGTCAAATTGCATCAAGTAGCGGTGCTGATCTCACGGCATGGCCCCTTGCTGATCACTGGATGTAACGAGCCAACGAGCCAACGAGCCAACGAGCCAACGAGCCAACGAGTGATGAACGCACTACGAGCACACGAGCAGTAACTCCGTACTTTATCCTGTCGGAACTAGTAGGGGGGAGCCCTTGTTCCTGTCTAGACGGCTGAGCTGCAACTAATAATACGGGCGCACCGTGTCGTTGCGCCTCGGGCCGTAGGTTGCAGAGCCCTCCTCGATCGGGGAGAGTGGGGGGGGGATGATATGTAGGTCCATGTGCGTCTCTGAATCGGAGGTGACGGTGCTCGCTCCGTGTGTACGAGTGTGTATGATGTGTGGGCGTGTATGAGTGTGTGCGTATGAGAGTGTGTATATGTGTATATGTGTGCGTGCGTGCGTGCGTACGTGCGTGTGCGTGCGCGCGCGTGGTAATACACGCAATGTTCTTCTCTCATTCCTACTCTCTAGTCCGACGACGACCTGGCTGTTACCATTCCGGGCTCGGGGGGGGGGGGCGTCGAAGAGAGCTGTGTGCATCATCCATCACGTACAGACTCTCGAACGTGTGTTACGGCGTAACGTACGACTTGTAATACATGCGTAGATGACTACTCGTACGACACGTATAGAAGCGTGATCAAGCAGTCTCTGATGGTATCAAAACTTGTTTGTACTGTCCTCTACAGCGTCATAAGTGTCCCACATGACCTCCCATCTCTGCGCGGTTAAAAGAAAGAAGAGGGGGGGGGGGGGGGGGGGGGGAGAGAGAGAGAGAGAGAGAAAGGCAGAGATGGTGGCTTCATGCTGGCTGACGACATTGGCCCTTCCCCCCCTTTCTTGTCATTTCTTGTGGGAGTGTATGGTGGTGGTGGTGGTGGTGGTGGTGATGCATTCTCTCTCTCGCCCTCTCGCCCTCTCGCCCTCTCCGTGCTCTTCACTGCTGGAGGAAGCGAAAAGGTGGGTGGTACGGAGTACTGTTTCAGGAAACTTGTTTACGGGCCAGATAATTGGGGAGAGGATAGAGTCGATGGAGGTGGTAGTGCATCGTAAAAAATACTCCGTAAAACTACTAGTACGAGCAGAGAAAGTAGGATATCACTGGGTGGTGATTGTGGTGTGGTCATGTAGGTCTTGGCAGAAGGTTGCCGAGATCGAGGATTAGCCCAGGACATCACGCATTGCAGGTACACACACACACACACGCACACGCACACGCACACGCACGATGGAGAGGAGCAGAAGGGAATGGAAGAGTGTATACTTGCAGAGAAACAAACAAGCAGCAAGCAGCAAGAAACAAGCATCGAAGAAAGAGAGAGAGAGAGAAGAGATATGCAGATGCACAACCCCCCCCCCTTCCTACCCAAAAAATTATTACAAAAAGATAAAACAAGTAGAGGATGCTCTATATATGCATATATCAGACAACACTATGCTCTAGGATAGAGATGGTATTCTTCTATACACTCCCCGTACAGTCTCTTGTACAGTCTCTTGTACAGTCGTGGCCTGTACGAGTACAGATTACAGATTACAGTGGCTCCTGGAATAATTTACAGAAGCACCCCCCCCACCCCCTCCAAACTTTTCACCCTCCACCACCCTCCACGGTGACTCTTAGCGTATCCATCGTGGAGGGAGGATGAGTCAGGTCATCGCGCCCAACAGGGCGTTGGGTGGTGCTGGTGCTGGCCCACGGTCTTTGCAGCTGGTATTTCTTATTACGGGTAGGGCCAAGGGGAGAGTGGGTGACCCAGTCTTCAGCTGCGTTGCATGCTTTGCTTTTTTTCCTAACCTTTCTTTTTCCTTCTCTCTCTGTACTTCCCCTGCAGGGTTTCTACTCCTTCCATGCAAGAAATGTCTTCTTCTTCTCCTCTTTAGAATTAACCGGTTCAGATCGTACATGTATATTCTACAATACCATCACTTCCCATGTGCTGCCTGTCCTTCTTCCTCCTCATTGTCGTCCGTTTTTTTTTTTCTACTTTTCTTTTTCCCCGCGGCTGGGTGTGTGTGACCTGTGCCCCTGTCCCACGTCCGGTGCGGCATAATGGCGGCATGAAAATGTGGCTGAGGTGATGCCCGAGGAGCGATGTAGGCCTCACCGCGACAAACAGAGATAGGAGGGCGAGAGAGAGAGAGAGAGGGAGGGAGAGAGAGGCTTCACCGGTCGGCTCTCTCTTCTCTTCCCTTCTCTCATTCTTTCAATGCCTTTTTTTTTTTTTCGGGTGTCGAGAGTCATCGTACACTCGTAATCCAACGTCAAGTCCAGGGGTCCCATACCCCATCCGTATACAGATTACATGCTGTACGTACTATTACCAGCGATAATGCCACCCTCTGCCATGATACGCCGGAACGGCCGGCGCCATCTCTCGACCGAGACGTACGAGTAGTACAGGGCTACTCTCACCACTGCTGCTGAGTGCTGGTATTATTAGTATTGTGCAGATTACACCATCTCGGATCTCCACGGGCTGGATGGACGGAACTGGAACGGCACGGCGGGGACTTTGAAGATGCCACTAAATGAGATATCTGAGATGTTATTTATTCTCACGTCCTTTTTTTTTTTTTTTTTTTTCGGTTTGTTTGTCTTCTCCATGAGTTGACGTTTTCCCGTCCTCGTGCTCCATCCTGAGAGTCGAGAACCTTCAATCGAGAGAGTGACTAACCGTCTTTTCCGTACCGAGGCTTTCTTCCCCGTAGATGGCCGTGATACGGAGACCGGAAACATGGTGAACGTTGACGTCCTACCCTGATAAGGATCGATCTGTCCATCTCGTCTGCCAGTCCTATCCTCACTGCCTGTGATTCAATCGCATCTCGTGCTCTCTCGTAGGTAGCTTGTGCGTTGGACGGCAACACGCATGCACTCATTACCTGCATAGGTAGAATAGATAATAGATTCCATTCCAGCCATCTCCCCCGTATATACGCCTCCAATAACAGTATATCTTTGTAGACGCATACGTGCACATGCGCAGTCCCTTACTCATTAAGCGCATACCACAACCATCTTCCTCTGCCGATCCCCCGTCCCTTTCCACCTTTTCCACCAAACTCAACCCATTCACACGCCCCTCGTCTCCACCTCTCTACCTGAGAAGCGCTCTTCTTCCTGCCTTACGCCCCTCCATTCCAATCTTACGCCCCCTCCCTCTTCTTCCTCTCTCTCTCTCTCTCTCTCTCTCTCCCCCCTCCCTCCCTCCCTCCCCTGTGCGTCCTGCGAGTATTACTGTCACTCTCCTTCTCCTCCCCCGGGCTCCACGCCATCAACCATCGTTGATCATCGACGCGTGGATCGAGTACCATCGCCTGCTGCACCGCTGGCTCCTTTTTCTTCTTTTTTTCTTTTTTCCCTCTCTCTTACCTTTTCCCTCCTAGCTCGCACACCTCCCCCGGATCCTTGACGCAGCCAAAGCCAGCTCTCTCTCTCTCTACTCTCTCCCACCCGTCTCCCCTGTTCCTATAAACCGGGCCTTTTCCTTTTAAGCAGACTCTCATCCCTCCCCTCCCTCCTGAGCTCCTCCTCTCCTCCCATCCTCCCTCACTCTTCATCCTTCATCCTTCATCCATAAAAGACGAGCTCGATCCTCTCAACTTCCTCCCTCCCTCCCTCTATCTGAATAAGGGATTTCTTAGCATTCCTCGAGACGACACTAAGAGACGAGTCTTCTACAAAAACAGTCGATACACTCGGTCACGCGCAAATTACGAACAGTAACCCAACCCAACCCCAACCCCCCCCCCCCCGGCTCTACAAAATAGTCGTACGCGCCCGCTGTCACACCCCTGGTCTGAATTGATTGAACACCCCCTCCAACCGGCCTGGTCTCGCCTCGCCCCGTGCCATCCCTGTCCGACAAGGAAGAGCGACAAACAACACACACCCTTGCTTGGTCTTGGCTCTTTTACCTGCTTTACCATCGGGTCTCGTCGTCTTTTTTTTTTTTTTTCAGCCTGGAGACGCCCAAAGAAAGATTTTGTTACGAGATAAAACCCCGTATATGTTTACATATATATAAACCACGGCCCCCACCCCTGAGAGGGAACTCAACAAGACAAACACACACACACACACACACACATTTACAGACACATTCACACGCACACCATACAATAGAAACCAGAGTGCAGCACACATTCGAAGAAGAACAATGTCTTGCCGACCTTCAAGCCAACACTTTGAATCCTCCTCCTCCTGCTCCTCCTCCGACTCGGATCTCTCGTCATCCGTCGCCTCCGCCTCCGCCCCGTCCAACTTCATCATGAAGACGAACCAGCAGCCTGTCGCCTCCATCGAGGTCTTTCGCTGCATGAGGTGTGCCCGCTCCGTAGAGGCCACCTCGACAGACGACGCAAGCTCTCTGGGAATGGTTCGCATCGCCCACAACCTATACTACTGTGAGCGTTGCGCCAAGATGGTCGGTTACAAGTGAGGGGATGGGATGAGGACATGGAATCTCCTCCTGCCGGCGTGTACGCTCTTCCCGGACGTCACATCGTCTGCCCAGCTGGCTCTGCGGCGACGTCCCCTCGACGAGTTATCACGAATCCCCTTCGTCTATCCACCAGCGTCGTCTTCCCACCTACCCTACCCTCCGGACACCACTGCACAAACGCCTCCTCTTCTCTTCCCCTCTCCTGCCCCTAGACCCCCCTTCCTTCCCATCCTTTCTCCCTTACCCCTGTTCCAACCATCTCGGCAAGTTGCGTGGGTACGCGCAGCAGCATGACCTCAGCCCTCGACAACCCACCAGCCACGCCACCTCTACCTGCATGCGTGTGAGTAGTGGCAGAAAGCGAAAAGAAGAGAGAAGAGGAGAGGAAGTGGCTTCACGTGCGAAACCAGACGTTCTCCCCAGATCACCCGTCGACTACTACCCTGCTTTCCTACGCAATGGAGGGGTTGGTGGGCGTCGACCGGTCAGTCGGGATCGGCAGTGCCTCAGAATCACTCCGGCGGGATTCGTGACGTCGTCGTGCACCCGCGAGCCACTTTTATCCTCTGCTTTGCTTTTTCCCACCAAACGGCATCATGCCAACCGAACCGCGTGCCGGACGAGAGCGACAGAAAGGGGGGCCAGGTCTGACCGCTTGCAACCCGAATCCCGCGCTGTTCCATGCACACGCCGGCCCGTTGCTCTGGACCATCAGACGGGCAGAGCGCGCGGGGCGGCGTCTTGACAAGTTTCCACAATCAGAAGACCTGTCAGAGCCACCGGTCGGATGGCCTGTTCACTCTGAAACACGAACCCCGCGCAGTTCGACAAGGGTAGTGACTGCTGCTCGCCGGTGCAGGCTACATTGGCATTACGTCGTACATACGGTTCGAGCTGCAGTCTGCTGGCGATGCGCAATACGGGACCGCCTCACAATGACAAAACTTGGAAAGAACAAAAAAACATCACAAGGGACAGTTGGGCATCAACAGACAATTCCACAATCAGCAGATTATGAGCTCTTTTCTTCTCCATCCGGCAGACTCAGCCTCTTTTCCCAATGCCCTGTCACCTTTTTTTTTTTTCCCCTTCTCTTTTTTTCTCTTTTCCTTGCCTTCTCGGCCCTAGAGTGTGCACTGCAACCCTCCCCGCCCGGGTCTGTTGAAAATCCATCTGAATGGGGAAACTTGTCGAGGGTGGGATCTTATTGGACTCAATCTCGACTCGTCCAAAGTCTGGGCCGTCGTCATTGTGCATACGATGCCACGGTCCCCCCTCCAATCCAATCCAGACCAGCTACCACGGTCCGGAGGGGTACGCAGCGTGCTTCTGCTCCCGTCTCCGCCCATCCTGCTCCGCATTCTGCTCTGCGCTCCTCGTCTCTCTGTCGTGCGCCAAGTGCGCGACAGCAAGAGATGGAGGGAAAAATAACAATTCTTGCTCCAATGGGAATGGCGGGAGCGACAGTGCATAGGTTGCATGCAAACACATGACCCCCCAGGTCCGGCCTATCTGCACTGCGCGGACGAGGTGCAGACCAGGTGACGGTTCGTGCTCTGCATGTTTCGGTGTCGCCTTGACTGCATTTCTCGGTCTCTCTTCTTCTTTCCCCTCTCCTTCTTCTTTTCAGCCCTCTTCTTCTTCTTTCCTTTCCCACTCTCAACCCAACACCTCCCCCCTTATATCTTGTTTATTCCTTTTTTTCCCCTCCCTTTTCATTTCTCTTATTCCCCTCTCGCTCCTGCCTTTCTTATTCTCTTCTCTTCTACATATTTTTTCATATCAAGTCGTATCATTTTTTTATTTTTAGAATTGGGACTGGCGTCGAAAGGAAGGAAATACAATACCCTTTGTTTTTGCCTGTTCATTAAAGGGTGATTTTCTTTTTTCAAAGAAAAGAAAATTATTTTTTAGAAAAAAAAATGGGGGGTTCTTCCCCAGAGACTTTGACGGATGGTTCAGGTTCATTTTGGAATGGAAAGGAAAGGATATGGAAAGCGAGCGCTGATTTGAACAATTGCATTCTCACATGGGATACATTTCATTACCTTGGGGTGTATAATCTGGTTACATTCCAATACAAACATTCAGTCATATCTTGCTGAACCTTGACGACATTGAAGATGTCTCTCATTGCAACCAACACCTGACATGAAATCGACTTGCCAGTTTGGCTTGACTCGCTACTTTTTGACCTGACCCGAACACCTTGACACGACGCTTGATTTGACTTGGGTACTTGACCTAGTACTGGGGCTTGGCTCGATCTGCGTTGACTCGACTTTGATTATGAGATGACTTGATTCCTTTTGTGAAAAACATTTCTGTCCCTTTTATTTACTGTTAAATTTGGTGGTTTTATATAAATATATATATATGTGTGTGTGTGTGTGTGTGTGTGTGTGTGTGTGTGTGTGTGTGTATCACCGTACTCTTTTTGCCAGCCCTGGACCCCCCCCTTCTTCTTCTCATTCTTCTATTTTTAAAACCAGCACTGTATAACCCCCGATCTTGGCCCGAGGTACCTGTACTGGTACTGGTACTGATACTAGTACGAGTACGAGTACTATTATTATCATTATCATTAGGTAGAACAGGCCAAGGCCACAAGGCCAAGACCCAAGGTTGCACTGAGCGAGTGCAGCATCAAGTGTCGGGGGCCCAAGATTGATCATGTGCGGATACGGATACTTGCGAGTATCATACAATATCATTGCACTATTACTCCGTACAATTGCCGAATAATATAATGGTAAAAAAAAAAAATACGAGATCCCCCTCCTCCCTCCTCCCCTCCCCCCCCCCCCCCCCCCCCCACAAAACGGACCCTATTTTTTCTTTCCTTTTCTTTTGTCTCTCCCTGCCCTATATTAATAGACATATGAATAGGCTACAACTGTCAATCAGGCTACCCTGGCTAACCTTGCACGTCAATGGTAATTGACACATTGTATCATACATGTGACTTCCAAGTCGGGATAGATTTTCGTCAGGCCTTTAAGAAGCATGATGTATTGAATATATACGCTGCTACATTCACGCTCTCTTATCTATATCTATTATATAAATATATCTATCGTCTTCTGATTCTCATCATCTCAATATTCCTCGTCATCTTCTAGTCTTTCTTCTCTTCTCTTCTTCTCTTTCCCTCACTCACTCCGTAGGTACGGGGTCAA